TGGTTCAAGCTTGTGTCTGTTTATGGTGTATACCTGCATTGGTATCAAGCAGTGTTAATGTCTTCTAACCTTACGGGGTGGAGGAAATAATTTTTCATTAAGTCTTGGTGCCACCAGGAAATTATATAAATAAAAGTAGTTTTGGTATTTCATTGGGATTTAAGTAAGTTTTTAGCTTAGCCTCATTAAAAAAACCCAACCTTCTATTTACCTGGAGGTTATAAATGTATTGTAGAATTCCAAGATGTACGCTCCCACTCCAGCAAGGCATAGAATCATAGAATCATAGGATCTTTGGGTTGGAAGGGACCTTTTAAGGTCATCTAGTCCAACCCCCCTGCCACGAGCAGGGAGATCTTCAACTAGACTAGGTTGCTCAGAGCCCCATCCAACCTGACTTGGAATGTTGCCAGGGATGGGGCATCTACCACCTCTCTGGGCAACCTGTGCCAGTGCTTCACCACCTTCATTGTCAAAAATTTCTTCTTTATATCTATCCTAAATCTACCCTCTTTTAGTTTAAAACCATTACCCCTTGTCCTATTGCAACAGGCCCTGCTAAAAAGTTTGTCCCATCTTTCTTATAAGCCCCCTTTAAGGACTGGAAGGCTGCAATAAGGTCTCACCGGAGCCTTCTCTTCTCCAGGCTGAACAACCCCAACTCTCTCAGCCTTTTGTATGCATGTAAGCATATGCTTAAAATTGAGCAGTTGAGTAAACATTTTGCTTGTCTGAGAGCACAGAACATACATCATGAAAGGGGTGACATGCTAGGTCAGTACGCCTGTACTCCTGCAACAGCTTTGGGAACCAGATGGAAGAAGTGACAAGGCATTGAAAATTTTAAAAGTTTTTTTACAGTATTACAATTTGCTTCCCTAGTCCATACCCACTCACATCCTTCTAGATCAAGGACATGTCTACATAGTTTTACAGGCAGATGAAAGTGCATTCTTCCCATGCTGCAAGCTGACTAGAAGCTATGTAAAGTTATTTCATGTTCTTCTAAGCCTCATGAATAAAGCTCCTGCTGAAGTATTAGCTTGGGCTTCATGCCCCATTTAGAGAGTTTGTGTCTAGCTGAAAAACACAGAGAAATGCTCCGAAGTATTTGCTGTTAACAGAAGCACATATATACGTGCATGCAAACTCCAGGAGCCTGTGGCTATAACCAGTGACTTCTCTTACTTCACAGTAAATGTCAAGGGGTCATGAACCTCACAGAACTACTATTAACTCCAAGAAAGCTTTTTTGAGTTTACAAACTACTGAAATCTTTGTTATAACCAACAGGTAGCAAGCTCACGCAGTCATCTGAAAAGCCAAAGGATTTCTTTGGCCTTTTATGATTTCTTTTTTTGGGTAGCCATTTAAAAACTTGATTCTCCTACACCAATGCTTCTGCACATAAGAAGTGAGTAAATATGAAACTTTTTTGTGTTACTGTGTCAAAAGCTTTTGTAATCTCTACAGAGACATCACATCAAGATGAAGTCTCTCTGAGGACAGCCTTACTAACTTTGCAAAACAAAGTGTAGCCTGCTTTAAACACGAACTTTTAAAAGGACAGCAATAAAAATACCACACCAATTTATTTTGACTGAGGCTTGAAAAGAAGAGGTATAAGAGCTGATGGAACTATCCATAACACACTGCTGGCATTCACCCAAGACTACTGTAAGAAATTAGCTATGTCAAGTTCAAGCCTTGGCTCTGAGCATGACATTTAAACAAGACAAAGAAAACAGAATCTCCTCTGCGGATTTTCAAGAGAATTGTGAATGCTCTCTATCTAGCAATAATAGGCTTGCTTTTCCAGAGTGTGACCCCAAGTACCAGTTTGGGTCATTCCTCCACAAGCGGCTGTAGAAGAGCTACATGTGGAAGAAGCCTCTACCCCAAAGCCAGGCTGCAGAGTAGGGAGTGCAGCTCAGGGTAGTTCCTCATGGATAACTCAGTTCTGTTTTCTCTTAGTGGCTTTCTCATTTCTGCTCATAACGCGTCAAATGGGAAAAGTGAGGAGCAGCAGTGTCCAGGCAGCCTGGAGTCTGTGCAGGGGAAGCAGCACAGCTATGGCACGTGGCAGACTGGAGGAAGATGAAGAAATAAAGAAAATAGAGGACAGAGAAACATGTGGAAGAGACGTGATAACGGTCATGACACGGCATATTTAACAGTCAGCATCTTACCGTCATGTCCCAGGCTGCTGCGCCCACATACCTGTGTGTGTGATGTACAAGTGTCCACATGCACTTGCATACATGTGCCTGCATATGCGTTTGGGGTAGGGGTTGGGAGCTTTAAAGGAGATTTAGTAACAGAAATCTCAGCCTTGCTTGTGACATATTTATAACTTTCTATGCACTGTGGGTCAAACATTTACAAGAATGCCTTTTGCTTCTGGTAAAGTCAACCACAGGAAGGGCAAGGAAGGATGTAGTGGTGGCAAAATGCAGAACCCACCATCGCCCTGAAGAGTGCAACGACAAAAACTGAAAGTCTGAGCTCCCCAAAATAAACTGTCTGTGTTTGAGGGCTGTAGCAGCAAAAAAGAGGAACTCTTGGTCTTAATTCTGCTATTACAGAGGGACCAAAAAGCTGTAACTAGAGCAAGTGATCACAAGCAAGTGTCAGGAAAGTGACTGAAGAGCCACATTGGTTGTAGAAAAAAATAAGTCAGATGAACTATGAAACTGTAAGGAGCACAGCAAAGAAATATTATGTAAATCAGGTCAGCTAAGCCAAGTGGAAGGCCCAGGCACCAAAAAGCCACGTCCACACAGCAAAGCATAAAGAGCGTGTTTGGAGAGAGGAGCCAGCAAAGGAACCTGGCAACAATGGCCGTACTGAGGAGGGACCACGCTTGTATCCTGCCCATCCCAGGGCGAGCGAAAGGGCACACATGGGAAGAGTCTGGGGTCAAAGATTAGCAGTCCTGTGCCAAGAATCATAGCTTTTTCATTAGTGGAGGAGAGAGAAAGGCCCCAAAGTGCCTGCCTTTCCATTGCTCTGTTTTGATATGGGGCTTGACATGGGTGCAAAGCTATTGTAAACACACATATGTCCTGTGTTACAGAAATGCAATAAAAGGAAAACAGTCCTTTTTTGTAAAAACATGGATATTTTTACAGCATACAGAGCCAATTATGGCATTTAATTCTACAGAACAGGAAGGAGCTCAGTAAATTGCTGCAAAAATATCCAGCCTTATGCAACCAAAATGCCGACCATGGATCAGGCATTTGGAACAGCTGTGGAGTGGCATCACGGACCTCCCCGCACCCTGAATATGCATCTAGGGACAGAGCTTAATCTACACCTCAGCTAGCTAGTGTACCCTTGGTAGTGACCTCTTTTGTAAAATGACCCCAGCAGCCACTTCATATATAGTTTTAAGCCTATATTGTACTCCCCAAAACTTATTTTCTATTCTGTCAAACCCTGTTAAGTCATTTAACACAAACTGTAGGCAGAAGACATAAAATACCAACATTTCAGTTTGGCATGCATTTAAATTTTCATTATAAGCATTCATACAAGAAGTAAATAAGTCGTACAAGGTCAGGAGCTACAGATGCTTTCTAGACATTCTATCATTTTCAACAGGGATCTTATATACAGTCCTGCATACAGCACAAGAGTAGAACATGGTCAACCACAACAACATAATAACAAGACTTACTTATTTAAATGTGCTGCAAGCACGCGAGCATAACTCAGTAACTGTGTGTGCATTCCTTGCTTGAAAGAAACATTGCATAATACTAGTATAACTATAGATCGCTTCTGCTTCTTTTTCCATTGAGTATTCAATTCCTAACAGCACTTAATAAGCATAATGAACGTAGAACACTCCCCAACCTCATCTGTTCAGTCTGGAGAAGAGGATGCTGAGGGAAGACCTCATCGCTCTCTACAACTACCTGAAAGGGGGTTGTGGTGAGATGGGTGTTGGTCTCTTCTCCCAAGTAACTAGTGATAGGATGAGAGGAAATGGCCTCAAGTTGTGCCAGGGGAGGTTTAGACTGGATATGAGGAAAAATTTCTTCACCGAGAGAGTGGTCAAGCATTGGAACAGGCTGCCCAGGGAGGTGGTGGAGTCATCATCACTGGAAGTGTTCAAAAAACGTGTTGATGTAGTGCGTTGGGACATGGTTTAGTGGGCATGGTGATGTTGGGTTAACGGTTGGACTTGATGATCTCGAAGGTCCTTTCCAACCTTAATGATTCTGTGATTCTGTGTGATTCTGTTTATTTCTTCTTACTTAGTAAAAACATTTAAAAAAAATTTGGCCCTTATATGAAATACCAAATGCTATCATTTATGATATAATCAAGAAATATATGGTCTTTACCTTTTTAATTTAAAAAACCTTTTCAAAACTCTTACCATAATTGCAAGATAAACTGTTTTTGATACCAACTGCTCTGAAGAATTAATATCCCGTTAAATAAAAACCTTCAGTGTACATTCTGTCTTTATCAGTAGAGAAGCAAAAGTGATCAGAAAAAGCTTGAGGGCACTACAACATAATTTGAAAGGAGAAAACAGTAAAAAGGCCCAATTATTCTTATTGGCTGACTAATATATCTAAAATAATAGGAATCTTCTCAGTTCAAGTTTATTTTACCTGGTATCACAACTGAAGCTACTATTTAAAATACACCAATAATGATAATATGCTTTGTAATTTCATTGATATAAATGAGCTGTTAATGTTAAAAGAAGAAAAAGCTAAGCAGGCATTAACTGTTTTGCTCTACCTCATTATTTCACACAAATAGACCCTACCAGAGCCTACCAAATCCCACAGAGTGCCTATGCATACAGTGGTACTGCTCGCTTGTCCTGCTCTCAGCACCTTTCCAGATAAAGTCACACATACATGAGCCAGAAATCACAAGAAGGGAAAACTTCCCTTTTTGATCAGACAGGTTTTGTGTGGAGTTTAACCCCATAACAGTTTTCCCGAAGCAGTCATACAAAAAATAAGACACACCTGATGTGCCAAAATATAGATATTATGGCCAACATCTTTCGGGGAGATGCCATCATCTCCATTCTCCTCCTCGTGGTCACATTCGAGGCCTTGGTTATATGCATTCTTCATCACATCCACCTGTAACACAAACCCAACCAGGGAGAAATGAAATAAATGTCATTCTTGGGGAAAAGGCACACTGTGTTTGAAGACACTCGCTTTGTTCAGCTGAAGCCCGGCTGGGGGCCCTGCAGTTCGGCAAGAAGAGCGAACACTCTGATAAAGACAAGCTTGAAGTATTTATGAAGCTCTAAACTGTTACATTTCTCATCAGCAAAACTGAAATCATGAGAAAGGAACAGGAATGCTGAGGTATTTTCACAAATGCTTTTAAAGATGGATCTACAGATATGGCAGGTAGTGTTCTGCAGCACTTAAGAGTGCATCCATGATCTCCCTCTGGCTAGAACAGGCTGCAACATCACTCAGCATTCTCAGGAAAAAAAAACACAACGTAAATCAAAAAGGAAAGGAAGATACAGATAGGGGCAGGGTGCTGGGGAAATTCCAAAATATTCAAAAGTCTCTTACAGGACCAATGGGGGCAAAATTGCTGGCGCGTGTCCAGAGAAGGGCAACGAAGCTGATGAGGGGTCTGGAGCACAAGTCTTATGAGGAGCAGCTGAGGGAACTGGGGTTGTTCAGTCTGGAGAAGAGGAGGCTGAGGGGAGACCGTATCGCTCTCTACAACCCCCTGAAAGGTGGTTGTGGTGAGGTGAGTGTTGAGCTCTTCTCCCAGCTAACTAGTGATAGGACGAGAGGAAATGGCCTCAAGTTGTGCCAGGAGAGGTTTAGATTGGATATTAGGAAAAATTTCTTTACTGAGAGAGTGGCCAAACATTGGCACAGGCTGCCCAGGGAGGTGGTGGAATCACCATCATTGGAGGTGTTCAAAAAACGTGTAGACGTGGCACTTCAGGACACGGTTTAGTGGGCGTGCTGGTGTTGGGTTGATGGTTGGACTTGATGATCTTAAAGGTCTTTTCCAACCTTAATGATTCTGTGATTCTATTCTATAAAATCCTCTGTTCCCCACACAGAGCCTGATCCTGCAGTTGTACCCAAGGGATGGCCTCATCGTGCTGACATGCCACCTTAGCAATGACACCCCAAAACCAGCAAAACGGGTTTTTCAGTCACTGCTGTTACATGGTCAACTGGATTGGAAACAATTTCTGCAGATTTCCAAGCGATTTAAAATTCCTGGAGACCTACACAAACATCACAGTTGTTCCAAAATACAGCAACAACTGTTTGTAACTCTCTTTGTTCATGGGACAAATATATATATATATTTATAACTTATATGTTACATATTATACGTTATATATTGTATGTCTGCACACACATTTCTGTTAGTACTGTTTCACAAACGGTACAAGCTTAATTTGCCAGCCCTTGACAAAGTGTACTTGAAGACAGTCTACCAGAGTACGATAATTTGGTTAGGAAACGATTACAGAAAAGTGCTTGGAACGGATAAAAATAATGAAGTCGTAAAGACTGAAATAATGCATGCTTGATCCTTTTAAAGTACTTTTTGTGAATTAGTACTATCCTGATACATTGTGTCACTATATGCTGCCAACACTTTTCAGCTTAGATGCAGATCGTTTTAAAAATGTTTTAATGACAGATTTTTTTTTTCAGCCAAAAGATTTATGAATATTCAGAAGTTTACTCACCAGTTCTCTTGGTCTCATGTTGAAAAGGATTCTTTCCGCATTCTCACTGTCGTGCCTGCTTTCCATAATCGCCAGCAAAAGCTTGGAGGCATTGTTCTAGAGATACAAAACCAAGTTAATGCAAAGTTTAGATCCATGTCATGGATTAACGACCTTTCCATTTGCTTTAATTGAGATTATGAGGACCACTTTTAGCGGGTAAGATTTTTAACTACTTGCATCTTTTATTTTACTGACATATTTAATAGGGTTTTTCTCTCATTTTAATGTCACCATACTGTAAGCCTAACCAACCCTGTATGCTATATTGGAAGAAAATTAAATAGAGAGCCTTGCTCTATACTGTGCACAAGAAATGAAATTCCATTTCCTTTTCTTATTGCCCACCTAGCAAATTTTGCCATGGCTTTCTGTTAAAAAATACTCAACAGGGGCAATTACAAAACGTTTTACAAGAAAGGTTTCATCATTCAGGCAGGTTTCCTTCCCCCTTGGTTTTTATAAAGTTCGACAGGTTATTATTTCAAAGGCTACAAAATAAACTGTTTTCATACATTCCTGAAATTATGTTTAACTACCAAATACTCCTGGGGGCGCACATAAAGACATCCTTTACTTTGACATCTTCCAGTTAAATCAGTTGTTGCGAACACGAGAGGAAGAATGGTTTGTGAGGTTTGACTTCTTTCTGGCAGAGTGCGGTTGCCTTGGTTGACGTGTCGCAGCATCCCCTCATCATCCTCTACTACAGCTGTGTGAATACTTGGAAGCAGACCACAGTCCCATGGTATAGGCAGGGGCCAGTAAAACTCTCAAGCCACCATACAACCTCATTCTCAGCTGCTTATTGACAGCCGTCAGCGAGAGTGTGCCTCTGACAAGTAGTATGGGCAATTTCGGAGGAAAAGGGTTCAGCTGCTTTTGGGACTGAGGCAACAAGAAGGATGTTATTCTCTGCATGTTCAAGCAACTTCTGTTTTAAGCAGTCTTTGTATCTCCAAGTGTTGATAGCAGAGCTGAAAATCGGGAGCACTAGCGGCCAAGATAACACAATCATGCAAGTTGTAGTCCTCAGGGAAACCCAGCCAAATTTGTCCAACTCACAAGCATTTTTAAATTACAATTTGAATACTATACTGTGGAAACTTACTAGTCTCATAGCTAAAAGCCCCCAGAGTTTCTTCTTGGTGGGCACAGAATCACAAAACTCTGCAGGTTAGCTCACAACACCACACATTCAAGGCTGTCCTCTGGACTCATCTTTCAGCAGTCCCACCTGCTGCTCAAAGCGGGTTGCTCAGGGCTGTATCAAGCTGAGGTTTGATCATCTCCAACTGGAGGACTGTAGGATGAGAAGTCAGTCCCAGAAGGAAGGGGTAGATGGAAGGAGGGTAGCTTAATAGAATGAGGATTTATACATGCCAGGGGAACTAGGACCTTCTGGGAGAGGAGACTGGGAGTTGAGTGAGAAACCAGGAGAGAGGAGCCTGAGCTTGCCAACACAAGAATGAGATAAGGACAAAGAACACCAGATGAGAAGAAAAGACCAGACTGAGACTGGCTGAAGGAGAACAGGACTCCATATGAACTTTTCCATAGCTCCCCTTTCCTTTTGCTCCAAAATCAAATCAGGACGGTCCATTGGAAAGGTCTACTCAGGCTCTTTCCCATGCAACCTCCATTGCCAAAGTTTAACGTGCACAGTGAATGAGACCACATAGAGGGAAAGGAGAGCATTTTGATTAAGACTCCTAACAGGTGCTGCTCTGAAGAACTGGATTCAGACCTTAGGATCTGATTTCCATTCCCAGGTATCAATGAGGAAGAGAGATCTATTACTTGGAAAATACAGTATAAAGTTCTTCATAACATATTAGTACTTCAAAAAATCAGTTCCCAGGTGCTACAAACAGGACAGCCCAAAGTACTCCTGGCCTTCATTTCTCTTTACGTGGGTTCCCATCTCATATCCTCATAAGAATTTTGGAAAAATAAACTAATGTGTGAAGCAACTACATACAGCAGAATAAGGTGCTATGAGAAAAGCCAAAAAGACACTTGTATTAGACTCTCTCTACCCTTAAAGCTGACAACGTCTCTTCATCTTGCCACTATACAGAGTGCCAGATATTGAGGTCATATTGTGTGCCAGGACTTAAATACTACTCAGTAAGGAAGGCCAGGGGGTCATACTCAAAATAACAAGAGGCAGAACAGAACATTGGACATCTGTGCACTCAATGAACACTGTCTACCCTGCTCACTAAATGATTCGGGAGTCCAGTGGAAAATATAATCCACAAAGATGTAATTAAATACCACATCACAAACTATGTGCAAAACAAGCTAAATTAAGATGGCATGGGAAAATATAATTCTGCATTGCCTTTGCTTTTGTTGGGGGGTATGAGTTCAACATATAACGTTCCCTGAAAACTGTGTCTGAGCTTGTTTGTATGTGCAAGTGTGTGGGCCTATATACTTTGCAATCTGTATTTTCTGTATTTTCACCGCAAAATTTATGTATTTGCAACTTCAGAGTTGCCTGTAAACACTGACAGATTGTCAGTGTTAAACATTACCTGGTAAACTCAGTGCTATATGATTTCAATGTGTTGCAGCTCAAAACAAAAACCAGCAACTTTTTAATTCGGATCTAATTCTTGACATCACATCTGGCCCAGCACTGTGTCCAGTTCTGGGCTGCCTGGTAGGAGAAAGATATGGACTTACTGGAATAAGTCCGTCAAAAAGCCACAAAGGTGACTAAGGGAATGGAGAATTTTTCATATAAGGAGCAGCTGAGAGCTGGGACTGTTCAGCCTGGAGAAGAGAGGGCTCAGGGGGGTCTTTTCACTGTGTATAGATATCTGATGGAAGGGAATGAAGAAGGAGCCAGACTCCTCTCAGCAGCGTCCAGTGAGAGGACAAGAGGCAATGCACACAAATAACACACACATTAAATTCCATCTAAACACAAGAAAACACTTTTTCCCTGTGAGAGTGATGAAACACTGGAATACATTGCCCGGATGGGTTGTAGAGTTTCCAACTGTGGAGATATTCAACAGGACACGGTCCTGGGAAACCTGCTCTAGCTGAACCCACTTGAGCAGGGTGGTTGGACAAGATGACCTCAAGATGTCCCTTCCAACCGAAATGACTCTGTGATTCTGTAAAATTAGAATAATTTCCACAGCCTGAAGCTTTGGTATCATTCACCAAGATTTTTGCTATTTAAGTAACAGTAAGGCGTATATTGCCTCCTATGAACAGGGCCAAACTGGTCCTTGCAGCAGTGTCTCTAAACTCCATTTTTGGTTATTATATAGAAAAGATGTTCTAGAAGCATTTGCTAGCTTCATGAGAATGGCAAATCAAAATGGCACTGGAGTTACTCTAGCTAGGTCTTTATAGAGACTGAAATTTGGATTTCAAAAGAACTGTCTGCATGTTCAAAGTTAAATGCTTGCTTAGTGTTTTGTGTTTTAAGAGTGGGGCCTGAATTACATTGCCATTCAAAAATGTAATTACAGTTATTAAAATCATGTGTAAAACACTGTTGATTCAATGTTTCATTGTACATGATATATAGCTATACTAATTATTTTATTAGACATCCATAAGACTGCCAATGTGATGCAATGCAGCTACCACAAAGTATTTGCTGGGGAGGAGGTTTTGGGGAGGAAACAGATCATCTGCAATGGAAATACTTCATTCGGAAGGCAAGAAAAGGCAATGACCCAAGGCTCCTCCTGGACAAGTTCTACCCTACTTGGCAGACAGTATAGCTGCAGAGCTCTCCTCTGCATGCAACGGTACACAGACTGAAGAAACTTATCTACCAGCCTATCCAACTCGCCACAGAATACAAAACAAAATTACAAGCCCTCCCATTCTACTCTTCGCCCTCCCTCTACACTTTGTCCTCCTCCTCAGAGGACACTGAGAAGGGAAATAAAATACAATTCACTTGTTTTCAACTTTATTTGACATTGTGGGTCATGTGACATATTATTCTTTTTTCACAACATCTCCTTCTCAAGTAATTTTTTAAGAGTTCAGTATATACAGAAAATGTCTGACTTGTTACGTATCTATACAGTGCTGCTATTTATCAGTCCTGTGAGATTTTATGCCCGCAGTATAGACTCTTCATGCCAGCTATGTCGTGTCTGTCTCATCGTATTTTTTTCAACAGACTGTGGGCACACTCCCAAACACAACAGTGGGTCAAAAGACCTGTGGCAGAGGGCCTGATAAGGATTCAGAAGGTGAGCTGAATTTACTCGCAACACGTTTTCAAAGGCTGCTGAATATATTATGCTATGGTAAGATTAAGTAAATGTCAGGTTGCCTAGAGCTCTTGCATAGGTATGTCTTCTATTATTACTCAAATTTAAATAAACAAGTTTACATTTACTGTACCTTTAGCTGAAGCACCAAGTCCATGCAGTATTTGCCAAGAGGGTTTATGTCATTCAAGATGAGTGCAATTATAATATCTATCCCATTAGATTCATGGGTGGCTATGCAAGTCTGCAAAATAAGAGAAGAAAAGGGAGTTGAGGGTGGAGAGGGAGGGAAGAAGGGGGAAAAAGAGGGGGATTGGATGCGTGGAGAGAGGGAGAGAAAGAATATGCACACCAGCAAATTTCCAAAACAAGGACCCAGAACTTAAAAGACCTTGTAACAGCAATGAACCTCCCAGCCAAAGCAGAGCAGCCTGAAAACGTGCCACAAGAGGTGCTGGGGGAGACTTACCTAGTACAGAACTAACCCCAACGCTGCCAGTAGTGAAGTACACAACTGGAAAAAAGATGGTGCAAGCAAAAAATACGCTTGCAGTGAAATCATGCAGGGTTTGGCACCAAGTGGTAGAAGTTAGAGAGAGCAGCCCACAGCAGCACTGCCAGATTCAGCTGAACACCCATGCAGAGACATAAAAGACATACTTGAATGTAGGCATAATCAAATTTGCACACTCAAATTCTTAATTTGTATCCAGCAACCAGCATTAATATCGCTGTTATAGCATGAATTGTTTGCAAAGATTAAGGTTTTTTACATGCACGTGGACAAGTCCTGCACAGAAGGACGTTTCTGGACATGGAATTCAAAAGTGTTAACTCTGACCAATAGTACTTCCCAATTGCTTTTACAACTGGAGTCCCAGACCTTCTAAGCCTTATAAATAAGTGTCGGTTATACAAGCCTATGGTATTTTTTCCTAACAGGTTTATAGGACAATAGGATAGGAAAAATTTTCCAGAAAGACAGAGAGAGGAGAAAAAATGAAAATGAGATTGTGGAGCATTTGCCTCTGACATACACTGAATCAGAGTTGCGGTTGGTGTAAACAAGCATAACTCAAACCCTGAGTAACTTCCTGGCAGGTAGGTCTAAGTAATTAAGTGTAACTAATCATTCCCTTCCACTATCAGTGTTCCTAAGTAAACATGTTGGAGAACAAGTTAACTTGAAACATAGATTTTTTTTTTTTCTGTCTCCAGTCCTGTAATTATTCTTTTTTTACAGATTTTTTTCCCCATCCATTAGTGAATCAAATATGACTGTTTAAAATTTAGTCCACTAAAGGATTTGTGTTTGCTTGTTTTTAAAGTATTAAGTAAAGGCTGTTGATTACCAGCAATGGCAATAGAAGCACTCTGCACTTCATTTGTGCACGTTAATGAAGTAGCATTAATATCACATGTATTTTTTCAGCTATGTCTAGTATATAGACTGCCTCTGTAATTTTGCCCACCGCAATTTTCCCATTACTAATCTATAGTAAAAATTCTGACATTTCATCCACTGTGACAACTTTACTACAGTCCTTCTCGGATCAAATACAGCAGCATCTAACTACATGCTTTACCTTTCTATACTGCCTCAGCACGGCACTAAAGAGACATCTACCCATCTACCAAAAGTCACACCTACATGCCTTAAAAAGACTACATCAAGCAAGGCACAGAAGATTAGAAGCATGATCTTTAGTCTCACCCATTTCACTACTGATATCATAATTAAAGATGCTGACAGGTAGTATAGCAGGATAGAAGTTAAACTTCGTGGCAGTTATGTGAATTAAGGAAAGTAAATGCTATCAACCTATATAAACATCAGCAAAGGCAAAATGTATGAAAACGAAGAAAAGAATGTATACGTTGTATGTATGCAATGTAGTTCCACAACTGTGACTCGAAATCCAGTCTCACAAAGTGAGGTTTAAGCTATGGACCCACTGACATAAGACATTAAACTCTCTCCAAAAGGACTGGAAACCCTGCATGTAAGCAGACATACTACAGGAAGATGCTATATTGAGTTCTGACTTAAAAGGATTGCTCAGGTCTTATGAAAGCTTGAAACATGTTAAGCCTAGCCATAGCAATTACAAGTGAATTTATGTTATTCAGAACACTGAAAGGTTTATGATAAGCACACAGGTACCATACGTTCAGGTATGTTCTTCTGCATCCACAAGTTATTTGAGCCCTACCTGATTTTCATGGCATGGACCTTGGCAATATTCAGTCAAGCTTTCCAGTGTCTGGTTCACAAGAGCCACATTCCTCTCATTGATGTAAAGTCCCAGTAAGCCTAGTCCGCCTGTCGTGCTTCCACAGATACAGTCCAAAAACTGAAGGGTCTCACAAACAAGGTTGTAGTTTGTTTTATTGTTCTGATGTCTTAAAAAATTCTGGTGGATGGAGAAAAGAAACACCAAAAAAACCAACAAAAAAACAAGATAGTTAGAGTCAAGTCAAACATACAGTATTTTTCATGAGAATATTAAGGGGAACAATTTATGACTATGACCATTGTACCTTAGGTAATGAAGTACACAATAACGTAGAAAATACATCATGCCTTAGTGCAGCTGTTGAGAACCATTATCTGATTAAATCAGTAGAGAAAGAAGAGCTTAGGAAAGTGAAGTTTGCAAACATCTGCACTGGCCTTAGATGCCTTATATATGTCCTGCATATATCGCCCATTCGTCTTTTTACTACGATCCTTCTCCTGGAAGCTTCTTGCCCCACAGCTGAGCAGGTACAGTGACACATTATGACTGCTCCTTGGCCATGGCAGCACAAAATGGGAGCTTAATTCAAATCACCTCCAACACTGCTTTAAGGGAGGCTGCTGGACATGACACTGAGGTATATTTGCAGAAAATTCATTTCGCAAAGGTTGGTAGAGGGACAGTAATTTCTACCAGAGCAACTGATAGCGGGGACATGCATAGCATCTTAAAGCCTTCAATCATAATACCTAGAGAAAAGAGCAGTACCCAAACTTTGCCCAGAAACTTGCTGTGGTCTTCAAGCCTGTGGCAAGTGACGCACCATTTGTGCACACAAACCGTACTAACAAGGACATTTAGACACTTCTCAATTCCACGTGGCTATGCTGCGGTCTCCAAGCAATTCTGAAGACATACACGTGAGCTCAAACAGAGCATGCAAATGCTGCTTGGAAAGGGTTGTTTTATCCCTTGGACCAAAAGAACGTAATATTTTAGACACCCTATCCTGCAATAGCAGCCAGACGCAGGCACGTTTTTCTTCCTTTATGAAGTTTCATCTCCTGTAATACTTCCTTCTGCAGCTCAGCACAAAAACACTTTACCTGGAGCTCTCGGTTGTGGTTCTCGCACAGTAGCTGAAGAAACCTCAATATTGGCTGCATGATTGCAATGGCAGGGCTCATGATTGCTTCTTCTGTGGACTTCTCTTCTGCATTTGCAGCATCTGTTCCTGAGCTCATAAGATCTATTTCTGGGTCCATTTCTCTTCTATACACAGAGTAAGCCTTGGATGTTGCAGAAGATGCTTCTGTTAACTGTCCTTTCATACCCTCTTTCAGATGCAGGGTTGAATCCTTTACTGAAAAGAAGATAATTTTCCTTCATTTTTGAAACTCTTTCTCCTCATTTGATTAGACAATAAGAAAACAATAATAATGAATGCAACTTTTTCTTTGTTGGTGCCTAACTTTTTGAAGACCTCTAGGCAACTCACAAAGAATATCAAAGGAACATTCATGCAGGGATAGCGTGTTCCAAATAAACCACAAACCAGAGTGAAACAGAACATTAAAACAAAAAGCCCTACTATTTCTCTCCCATATACAATAAATGATGAGAACAATGGAAGGACCACAGGGTGGGAAATCAGTTCCTGTGCTTGCTCTTGTGAAATAGCCCCATTAGCAGCAGTCTCTACTCCTGCTTCTCTAAAAATATGGTTCTATATCTTCTACTGATGTAAACTTGCATAGCTTCACTGATTTCATCAAAGTTAATTCTTTGTAACCAGCTTAAGAGATGGCCTGTAATCTAGAGTAAAACAGGCAAAAGATGCAAATTAGCAATGATTAATATTAAAACTTATTGGTTGACGCATATCAGTGGAGCAGTACAGCAGTACACGTGGTTTGAATATAATGCAGTTCTCCCCTCTTTTACATGGGTGCCTCCTTACCTCTCTTTTTTGGAACAGATATGGTTAGGTCACTATCATCCTCTTTCTTTTTGCTCCCCAAATCAATAGTGTTCACTGTCACTGTTGATCGTATCTCCTGCTGAGCAGCTTTCATGCGGTCATACAGGACTTTAAAGAATTTTTCCGACTTTTTTTGCTCCTTCAGTTGCTGGTAAGTTGAATACTGCAAAAAACATATTCTTTAGATATCAATCTTCTAAGGAAGAAGAAATACAAAAATGCACATTTTTTTTTGTGAAACAAATGATGAATAATTACTTCACTTACACAGAACAAATGGTGGTCACTGCCTGACCAGTTCTTTCACAAAGTGATATACAAGGCTGGTAACAAAGATTGATGATAACATTTTAAAATTTGGATAAAATGGTGAACACTGCTATTTGCAATCTTTAAAACGTCACTACACTACACTTGAAGTTAAATTACTTCGTGACACTTTCCATTTCTCCAGGCATTCTAGGGTTATAATATTCCATCTACAAATAATAGGGAAAAGTAGTTGTTATTACGTAACAACAAGAGGAAGCATGAAACATGTAATATTACAGCTTAGATTATATACGTTCTTTGTACTTCACACAGAATTGGAATTAATATTTTGAGTTATTAAGTCCAGCTCCTAAGTATTACTGTCAAGCAGGCTGAGTATCATTTTCAACAGTTTACAAACTCTCTTCTTAAAGTGAAAGCCTTTTAGAGCCCCTAACAATTAATTTTAGAAAGCTGCAAAAAAATCTCCCTTCTTTAACCTTTTCTGGACACTCTCTTAAGGGTCACAGAATGTACTACCTTTTTTACAGAATAAAGACACAAGAAGGGATCCCTTTCATTTAACTTTTATAGTCTTGCAATGAGGTCTAAGTTGGTTATTTAGGCTCCCTTCACAGGCAATGATGAGATATGGGGAAATGCAGGGAGTGATTCATACCATCTCTCCTCTCTTATGATATCTCTCCTGACCACAGAGTAAGAATAAACAATCATCTTATTTGGCTAAAGTTGGGTGAAAGGGATATCATTCACAAGAACTGGAATCGGTAGTTTAAAGCGGTTATTTTCTGTGGAATGGGATACTGGTCTTCTCACATGGCCAGTTTTTGTCTCTTTGGAGAAATATATAAAAGTCCCTAAACGTTTCCCAAAAAACAACTTTTTTTTTTTTGCTGTTATAAACTTGAAAGTATTGCCATTTTTAATTTTAAAAAGAGAGATATGAAATAGCTGGAGATAATGCTTGTATGGCAAAGACCAGATTAAAAGAAGCACTGTGCTACACAGAAAGGGACAGCTGAAAACTGTTTTCTTCTATTACTAACCTTCTGAAAGAGCCTACACTATGAGGTATTGCATAATAACAGGGCATATTTACATTTCTATTATAGGAACACATATTATAGTGATAAACTTTTTACAGAACTCACAGCAAAAAGATTCTTTTTATCTCCAGACTCAATGCATTTGAAAATCAGTATGTGAATAAGTAAATGAAATAAGTACCTGTGTTTGCGTATTTCCACCTTCAAGCAATGCAATACCAAGCAAAATGCCTTCTGAGAAAATTCTGTCATTTTTGGTGTTTACTATAACATCTATGACTAGTTCTGATGCACCTTCTTTATCCAGTAGGCACTGAATATCAAACATGGTTACACCAGACTTATCTGAGTCTTGTCCTGAAAATCCACCTGCAAGTTAGACACATACATACCATTCATGTTTGTTTCATGTATGTATATGAAAATGAATCTGTTAGTAATAATCATTTGTCTTATGTACACAGTAGCAATGCAATAATTTTAATTTTGAAATTCGGTTTGAGGCAAAGTTCCCCTTGATACAAACAAGATTTTTGTGTGAAACTGCAGTGTTGGGCTCCAAGAAGAAGAAATAAAACAAAAACATGAACCATTGTTCTGTTGTGATACTCAGACAATAAAGAAGTTGGAAATGACACTGATTTGTCCACTGAACCCCTTCTTTAATTCCACTGCTGCATATGGTAAACTGTGTGTATGATCAGTCCTCTGAGACCACTTTTAAATCTGCTTTTCAATCTCAGGCCTAATCTATACAAAGATTGTGTACTGGTAAATCCTCTCTGGTTAGAGGTATGACCTTCTAGTTAAATGCTTTTGCCAATATAACTCCTAGACTATTAACATCACAATAATGTTCTTTAGAACAGAGACTTGAGTTAATTCAAATTAAAGGTGTGGTTTTAATTAATTTTATCAAATTGTATTAGCTCATGAAATCAACCATCTTCGATTATCACAGATTACCATCTTTCCTGCTATACTTACTTTTACACAGATGTAACTGCATCTGTTTCATCAGGAAAAATATAGTACTGCTGTAATCATTCAGTACGGCTCTGATTAAACAGATTAAAATGGTTCAGGCTTTGTTTGTGATGAAGTCATACACACCCACACACACTTTTTAGAGAGAGAACTAGAAAAATAGTAAATCTTTACTCTCCTGTTTGTTAGGGAGCAAAATTTGCTGTACAGGATATTAAGACTGTAAACATTTCCAGTGTCTACACTGAAACAGTCAAGGAGGATCAGTTGGGTAACATTTGGAAATGCCCACAAATCTGGGCATGCCTTTAATATATCCTGAAAATGCAACAGCAAGTATTTTGACCTGGCTCTATACCTAGCTTCTGCCTCATTTCCTGAGTCATACATTATGTTGGGTTTTCTTAGAAAATTAGGTTATAAGGGATCTACAGAGATCATCTACTCAAACTTCCTGCTCATGGTAGTTAGAGCAGGTTCATCAGAGTCTTGTCCAGTAAAGTTGTAACAAGAACTGACACGTTCTTCCACCTCTTGGGGAAATCTGTTCCATTGCCTAACCAGCATCTTTGTGAGAAGCTTTTCCTTTTATCTTATTCTTTTTATATATCAATAAAGGATCTGGATTTTCAAAAACTTTTTCAGTTTCCAGAAAGAGCAATACCTTTGTTCAAATGTTTCGTGCTTTTCTGAATTTTTGGATGTGAATTTACTGGCAAATTAAAATGGTGTTACCAATTGGACCTGAATTGAATGACTGATTGGGGAATATGGGGAAAGTCCTTACTTCGGTATCGCCAAATGCACACCAGCCACCTGAGACAAGCACGTGCAACTTAAAAATAGGAAAAGTCTGATACTACCTCTCTTCTCACTGGTTACAGAACGTGTCTGATTTATTCACCAACTGAATCCCTGAAACACTTCCAATGTGCCTATTAGAAAAAAAAATGGTGCTGCTAATTTTGTTCTCTCTAAACGATCTGTGTTGATTTACCTCCCACTTGTGCAGTTTTGCTGTAGCTGGCAGACAGAGGCCCATTCATACCACTTCCATATTCTCCTTTAAAGTAGCGATGTAGGAGTATCTTCCTTAAAGTGTTGCCCTTTAAGAGAAAGATAAAAATAGAAGAAATTAGAGTTGTGGCCAATTTCCTTTGTTTGAAAAGCACGCTGTTTAACATAGATAAATAATTTATTAGGTCCTTCCATTATAATTAGTAAGCATACAAATAGTAAAGTTGTCCAGAAAACAAACATCTAATGGTCTTACCTAACAAATCTCATGGGAAGAATTTTAAATAGTTGTATAAACTTTCTTTAAAGTTTCCTTTAAACTTATTGATTATAGATCAAATACCTCCGCCTCAATAATTTTTACTGGCTATCTGCAAAATGTGTGTATTGCAACAAATTCTACAAAGGGCCAATGCTCTGCAGTCAGTGTGTCTGTGCCCTACGCTGCCATGGCAGTACTTTTTTCCTATTTTCTGCAGCTGAGTAGTATCACTCCCTTTTCTCTGATCTCAGATAATCCAGCTGATCATCTGAAAGAGCCACATCACATGAAATATTAAAACAGAGAAATGACATTTGATAGAATAGCTTAAAAGGCATTCTCTGTATCTCCTTGTTCCTTTACTTCGAAAACTACAACCAGTCAAAATTTGCATGCAGCTCTCTGAAGATCTTCCCTTTCATTTTGCCTATGTTCTGTAACACAAGACACACTGAATTAAGAGTGGGGGTACCAATTACTTGGCGTTTTTATTTTGCCTTCAGTCTCCTGGGAACACTGCAGTCAATACTCAGCTTTACAGAGGCAGTAGGTGACGCAACAACTGTAAGTGTATGTGTAACCTAAGATTTTATAAAGAAAAAAGTACGAAAAGGTCTCTGACGATTACCACAGAAGGGGAAAAAAATGTTCATTTCAACAGCTTGGCAGTAAAATGGGACAACTTCTTCCTTACTTATACTCACCTACTGGTTTTAATGAAAAACAGTTCTTATAAAGATGTACATCAGAAGCAGTCTCAGTACTTACCAGCTCACCAGCGCCTGCACATTAGTGCAGCAGTCAACTTTTTAATTGAAAAGTCTCTGTGGCCACCACAGACAGCAAGCAGGGGGGGAGCAAGTCCCAGAAACACCTCAAGAAGCACTACTCGCACTCCCACTTCTCTGCTAACTTATATTTCCAAGAGCAACACATGCCACAGTGGAGCTTCACTGCTTCACAGGGCTCAAGGACAATGGGTTTGTCCACCTCAAACAAGTGCCAGAACGCAGTATTCTGTATGTGTAGCCTGACAACACAAACCAGCCATTCTTCCCTTGTTCTCTTCTTTTGATGTTTTCATTTGATAATAGTCTATACAGAGTTCCCTCAAACAGCCAAGCACAAGGCCTATAGTAAAATATCAAAAGCCACAAATACAGTGGCCGCAAGAAAGATAGAGAGCATCACTTACTCATCTGTGGCGCCAGGGCATTTATTAGCTGGATTTTCCAGGTGAGCTTAAGCCAGCATGCTCTACACTACAGAGGAAGACAAAGAACCAGAAGTCTCTGAGGACTCGCAGAGACAGATTCCTTCCCAGCCTAGTTTGTGATGGGGTTTAACCTTGCATGCATGGACAAGGTACACTAACCAAGCTCATAAAAGATTCTGAGATAGCTAAGAGCACCAGCTCCTCCTACTCAACATCGTGTCTCTAGCCATGACCAAACTCCGGTGTCTTAGAGGAAAGTGAACCTCATTTTCTGCATCTCCTGAAGAAGACAAACATATTATTGAAGAGAAAAAAGTTCCCGCCAGAACTGAAAAACATGGTCTAACCAGGATAAAGTCCCTTTTCAAACTCTCTCAGGCATTTATACCACAGAATCATAAAACCATGTCACACAAATAGGATCACAGAGTGGGAAACCCTTTCTAACTTGAAACTAGGACCTGATCCAGAATGGGCATTGCACTGAGGCAAGATCTTTTAATCAGAAAGGCTGGCATTTGCCATACCACTTGATTAACCACTCAGCTTGAGGCAACATCCTCAACCAGCAATCTATGCAGTCTGTTGATGACTTACAGAGCGCCATGGTAAATTACGTAAACAGTCACAGTGCAGTCACGGGAGGAAACACAAAAACCATCTATATATAGTTAAGAATAATACCCACGGTCACAAGCTTTATTGTTCAATCAAAACAGCCTTTATTTTATCAGGAAGACTGTTTAAGACCATGAAATAGCATTTGACTAATAAATTGAATGATTTAGCACTTGGGTCTTATTGTCTGGAAGCGAGTAACTGTTGGCACATCTCAGGCCTTCTTCCTGCCTTGTTACCTTCAAAGACACCAGGAGAAGCAGCGATATGAAGATGCTTCTCCAGCCAGCTATGGAAGAGGGAATCCACCCATACCCAAACTAAGGCATTGGACTTCACTTCTTGTCCCAAGAAGCAAGTCTTAATTACTAGGATTCCTGCTCCCTCTCAGTCCCTCCCCGCTCTCTCTCTCAACCTCCCACGAATCCAGACAACACTTACAGTTCCCAGAAGCCAAACTGTCAAAAGTCAAGGACATCGTTTTTGAGAAGCAGAAATGTGGTGGAACCTCTGCTTTCCCTGACAGCTGTGCCAAAAACACGCCCTCAGACTCAGCCCACATATTTGCAAGTTCGGGATCTTCATCCCTTTTGCGATGACCTTGGGCAGCCATACGACTTCCCCGGGTCTTGCGAAATTAGCTGCCACTACAAAGAGCGGAAAAGCCCAGCGGTATGAACCGGGGCTGAGAAATGTGCAAATGCTCATGCAATGTATCAGAAACACCCGTCACCTCCAGCACGTAACTGTGTGAGGCGCCATTCTGGAAAATGCTGGAAAGAGCCTGCCCGCAGAAAAAGTGCCGATCTTGCTGGCGTAGGTGTCTGGGTATGCTTTTATGGGAATGCCAAAAAACATAGTCAAGAACAGCCCCATCATGTGGACAAGACAAACTGCTGCCCGGGCAAGTGAGACAGCCATGCCATTGATGTCCTTGTAAACAGTTTCCTAACTTAGTACAGCCACAAAATTAATATTGCCCAAAAGCAAATGATCACAGCAGTAGCATGAATAAGCAGTTTGCAGCAACTATTACTGACACTCACATTACTGAAGCAGAGGCCAAAAATAAAAGCACACTAGGCAGCACAGTGCCATCTCCCCCGACTAGGTTTCTAGACGTGGCAGAAGTCCCGACCTTCCAAGCCGAATCTCTCCCCTGCTGGCTACAACACGCTTTCTTTTATACCTCTTATTAGGGTATGGAAGTGGCATGTAAACAACACTCAGCTGACTGCAATCCTTCTGTAATGGCTAAAACATTGTATAGCTTTGAAAAAACCACAATGAAACATAACAGTCTTATTGTTACCCATGAATACCACTACATTGTCTCTAACAAAAGCTAGGATAAAGACCGAGGACACAAGAAAGCAACAACTGGTTATTGTTGTTGCAGTTTTAAATAGCTAGGGATTGACAGACAAAAGTTTCCAATAGGGAAAAATTATTCCAATAGGAACATGTAGACACAAACAAATTACGTTTTCTCACTCCGTATTTCATTATACCAGCTGGCCTTTAAACTCAATTTACATGCCTTAAAACAATGGTTTATTCACTTTCCTCCTCCGAGACTGCAAAAGGCTGGCTCCACATAAGGATGGGGTGTTCAGCGTGAGGAAGCAACGGCTGAGGGTGGTATGTAAGGCTTATCACGGACACCTGCTTCAGCACGAGCCCACTGTGTAACACTGCCAAAAATTATTTGTCCTGTCTTCTATAACTCTGCACACTTCTTACGGAATTGGAATGATATTTATGATGTTCAGAAGGCTGAACTAGATGATGTGGTGATCTCTTCTGGTTTTCACTCTACATTAAAATAACGAAGCGGAAATGCTCAGCTCATCAGTGATCACACAGAAAAGGCAGCCACATCCAACAAATGTTTCTCTGATACAGTGGATGATGTTGCGAGTATATTCCACTCTTAACCCAGGAAGATGCATTCAAATTAGGCATGTTAAATCTTTAGATTTGTATAACTTGCAGTCAAGTACAAAAGAGGAGCTGACTGGGATCTCTGATCTACTAATACAGGTTTCCAGAAAGTTTGGAACAGAAACAAAACCCCAGACAACTAGGAGAAATCTAACATGCAATGATACTCTTAAAGTATATGGGAGTACTTTTTATGCTTTTTACAGATATCAAACCCACTGCAGTGAGTTTGAGACTAGTTCTGGGAAAAACTATGGAATGGCTGATTTTGAGGTCCATTAACACAAAATTGAAGGAAGCTACTATAAACGCGCAGCAGTTATCATACTGGCATCATGTTGTAATAATTGCCTTAATACAGGTTTAAGAAAAATAGACCTTCCCAAACTTCTGAAGATTACTTCTCTGGTTTTGCTAATGATGAAAATCTCACTCTGACTAGTAAAATTTGATAAACTGGTGGTGTGAGACAATCCTGTAAGGCAACATTTTTTATTAAGTAACACCACAACGACAGTTATCAAATGGCTTAACAGCTAAGTGACTGATAAAATTCAACGTGCAACTTAAAGCCAGAAATCGTAAATGAGTGCATGGGCTTCTAACAGGCAACCTCATGGAATATTTATTGTCTGCCTGATTTTTTTTTTTCAATGAAATGGAAGAATACAGAAAAAAATTACTAGTAGCATTTAGAAAGGACACAAGAAGAAAAGGGGATGAGGTCAAGTAACCGATAACAATTTAGGCATCACTTATTAAACTGACTAGAAGCAAATAATATGAGCCTCACTATGTCCAGACTTCTGTACGTCTAGTTATAGATGTAGTAACAATAAAATGCTTAACACCAAACAATGGAGGACTCTGTTTTAGGAGTCCATGACTTTGTGGAAAAATGGAGGGTTTTGGAGAAAAATGAGCAGAATGACAAGTCTCTAAATCACACAATTCTGGAAAGGATAGCAAGAGCTGTTATGGAGGATTCATAAGATTATCTTACTTCTATACGTGCAGGGGCACGTTACTGTAGGAATACTGCATCACAT